CCACGATAGGATCGAGTGCGGTTAAAAAATCGTAATCGATATATGAAACGGCGATTTTTCGAAAAAATTTTGACGAAAATTAAATTTTCTTTTTTTTTGCCGAAATCGATTTACACACGAGATTAGGTGTATAGGTAAAGTTTGGCGAGAATACGCGGTCCCCGAGTGACTTTTTTGGGCACTCGAACGTCGATATTTGTAAAAATCGCGTATATTTCTTATTTATCGGTGAATCGAAGTGGTTTTACGCAAATAATCACCCTCCCTCCTCCCGCCACCCCACCCTTCCACAATATAGGTCAGATTGCAATTGGATTAGGTTAGATAGACGCGGTTAGCTAAGGTCGCGATGTGTAGTTAGGTTAGGTAGGTTAGGTCGACGTGCGCGGTTAGGTTAGTTAGATGACGTGTTTTAGGTTAGATCGAAAATGCTCAGTTAGGTTAGATCGCGGTTAAGTTAGGTTAGGGTTCACGCGCGCCAGTTAGGTTAGGTTAGATAGACACGTTAGGTTAGGTCGAAATGCTCGGTTAGGTTAGGTCGACGCGCGCAGTTTTAGGTTAGATTGCAGTTTAGTTGGAAAGTTAACGCGCCATCCTAACCGCGCCGTCCGAGAGCTTTCCGACGATACCTGTACGGCCTTCCTGCGACTTTTCGTACCGAGATTTCTCATTCGGCGACGCCCGCGACGCACGCCGGCGTCGGCGTCGTCGGCGCCCACTTGACACGGCCCATCCTAACCGCGCCGCGAGACCTTTCCGACGATAACCTCGCACGCCTTCCTACGCACTTTTCGGTTACCGAGATTCTATTTTGGCGACCGACCGAACGACGCGCGCCCGACGGGCGCCGGCTGCGGCGGCGCCGCCCCGCGGCGTCGTCGTCGTCGAAATCTCACCCTTACGTCGTGGACGATAAACGGGTTTGCGCGAATAAGAATCTCCATCTAAGCTAAGCGAGATCGAGGTTCAACAAAAGGTAGGTACTCAGATGCTAAAAATTCTTTTTATATTAGTATAATGTAATTATGAGCCCGAGTGTATGTGTACGTTTCTAGGCAATTGGTTATTATATCAATACTTACACGTGGTTCCGACTTTCGTAAATATTTTAATCGGCCTTGACGATTTTCAAGAATTTTACAACGACTCTCGAATCCGAAGACGCGATTTTACGATGGGCCGCTACTCATGCCGGGAAAAATTCGTTTCACCCCTCCCGTCCACGCCCAAAAAATGCACCTCCGAAGAAAATTCGCCGAGGGTCGCCCGTCGAACTGGAAATCGAGCTCCGCGGGATAGGGGGGGTAGGCAGGGTCGAGGCTTTCGAGGTACTCGATCGCGAAAGTCGCGAACAACCCGCGGGGGAGGAACGGCGCACGAGAAACGGGAGCGCGAAAAGAGAGCGAAATTGCTCGAAAAGTAGCCTACTTCCTCCCTCTGAAAACGCGATCGATCGTAGTCCGCCGTCCGCGTGAGACGTACGGGGTCCCATTAAAAAACTATGGGCCGTTTGGGGGGAGGGGGCGCGAAGGTTTGGCCCTTATCATCGTCCGCTTTCCGCTTTATCCCTCGCCCGCGGAAACGAGACGACTAAGACAACACTTACGATCGCTCAGCGACGAAGTCGGACGGATTAACGACGCGTCATATACGACCAATTCTCCCGGTGGGTTCGGGAGGAAGGAATTTCGAACGCACTCGGACCCGATCGCGTGCATTCGGAATGATGTCGATAAAAAATAAATTACGGCGGTCGAGCGGCATAGGAGAGGGCGAATTTGGGAAAGTCGGATCAGTCTTTTCTTTCGACGCGCCTTTCGCCACCCCGACCGCTCCGCTTGACCCCCCCCGGACCTTCAAAGTCACTTCGCCTTTTTCGACGTTTGTTTGGGAACCGCGAGGGTTAGAACGACGCGGTTAGTTGAGTCGATCTCTGTTCGGCTCGTCCGACTTACGGTCGACATTTCCCCTCCCCCCTCCATATCGTCGTAATTCAAAATTTAAAAGGTTATGGAGCCGACTCTTAAACGCGACGGTCGTCCACGTCGATCTCCGTATCGACGGCAGTGCGTTCGGAATCGACGGCGAATCGCGAAAAGCCGCGAGGCGAGGCGGCGCAGCCGCCGAAGCCGAGCGAAGTGTCAATTTCGTTCGGAAGGCGGTAAAGTTTTTTGGCAATCTTCGATCGGAGTAGTTTTCGAAGTCCGTTTAACGTACCCCGGCAACCACTCCGTTAACCCTCCCATCCCTCCCCCCCCCCCAAACACTTTAAACGTACTCTGTTCGAACCGCGAAGGGTTAAAATGATGCTGTTTTTTAAGTCGATCTCCGTATCGGTATACTACGACTTTACGTTCCTCCCTTCCCCCCTCACCCTCCCCGCCCACCCGCTCCTTTGGTAAATTTCCGTTATTTTAAGGGTTATTCGGAAACTCCGAGGACCAGAACGATGCGGTTTTCTAACGTCCTCTCGCTTTCCGTATCGATCGGTGTGCGTTCCGTGATCGACCCAAAGAAAGCGAGGCGGGCGGCGCAGCGCGAGACCGAAAGACCGGAATTTTTTTTCGTGTCTCGATGTGCAAACGAAACTCGCAGACGCGTCGACGTGCCCACCGACGTAAAATAATCGAGTTTCGTGAGTGCCACGGTACGAGACGAACTTCGATCGAAATTTTCAAAATTTTCGCGTATCGAATTTCCCGAGGGAACTCGAAAATTCCAAAAACGCCGTTGCGTCCCCGAATCGAGCAATCGACACGAGAATCGGAACGTTGCATTTTAACCCTCAAAGGACACGTTTACAAAAGGTTTTGTCGAAATACGAGTCTACTTCGAAAGTTATCCCAAAAATATAAAAACGAAAAAATTCCATACTATCCCCTTCCTTCGAAAAAATCGAAAAAAAAAAATTGTCAAAATCGTCGTTTTTTCGACGTCATCTTATGCGTTTTGACGCGGAGATTGCAAAAAACGAGAAAAAATCTAATAAAAGATTACGGTTTCGACGCTAGAGGGCTGCTTTTTGGTTTTTCGAATTTTTGCGCCCTTTCAAAAAATTCGTAATTTCGTCATATTCGATGGTAATTCGAGAGGTTAAGGCGCGATCGAAAGAGGAAGGACGAGGCTATTCTACGACACCTTCCACCTCCCCAAAAAATCGAAGGCCGTCTCCGGGAGAGGTCGTGGAAAAAATGAAATTGCTCATACGAAAATGGGCGCAAAACGGCACATTGCCTGTGGAATTCCGGGACTTCGATACTAAACGATCCTTTGGATCGACTTCCTATAATTTTGCCGGAGTCCCCACGATAGGATCGGCAAGTGCGTTAAATCGAATCGATATGACAACGGCGATTTTTCGAAAAAAATTTTTGACCTGAAAATTTAAAATTTTTTTTTTTTTTCGCGAAATCGACTTTACATACGAGATTAAAGGTGAGAGGTCAAAGTTTGGCGAGAATACGCGGTCCCCCGAGGTGACTTTTTTGGGCACTCGAAGCGTCGATATTTGTTAAAAATCGCGTAATATTTCTTATTTATCGGGAAAATCGAAAGGTGGTTTTACGCAAATAAATCAACGCCCCTCCCCCTCCCTCCCCCGCCAACCCCCCTTCCCCACATAGGTTCAGATTGCAATTGGATTAAGGTTAGATAGACCGTTAGCTAAGGTCGCGATGTGTGTTAAATGGTTAGGTTAGGTTGGTCGACGTGCGCGGTTAGGTTTAGGTTAGAC